TGCTGACGATCGACATCGTTCGAGGCCGCAAATTTGGCCAATGAATCCGCACACTCGTTACCACATATGCCAGAGTGGCCAGGAATCCAAGCGATCTCGATGTTTATGCCATCGTTGTAACAAGAGAAAAGAAGCGCCTTTATCTCTACAACCAAACTGCTATGAGTACGGGAATGGAGCTGGTCTTGGTTGAGAGACTGTAGGCTACTTCGGGAGTCTGAAAAAATAACAGAGTTTTTTAGGTTGTGTGCTCTAATAAACTTTACTGATTCTAAAATGCCAACGCATTCTCCCGTGTAGACAGATGCTTCCGGGGGACACTTAGAGAGGAGGGCGATCTTCGAATTTTGGAAGTACGCTGCCACTCCTGTACTTCCGTTTCGAGATAGTTTAGACGCATCTGTGTAAAAAATATTCCAGCCTCTCCAGTATTTGCTCAAGGCGCGTCCGAACTCGCCCGTAGCATCCACGGAGGATTTCGAGATGCCGAGCCCCAGAATCAGCTTTGGCCTGAAGTGGATAGCCTCATATGCGGAAGAGAAGACCGGGAGTACAGGATATTGCCTGATGGGTGCAGAGAGGTTTTTAAGCTCCCTGTACCTGACAATCACGGGAGGGACAGGTTTATTGTTCCAGTAGGAAGAGGAGCTATAGGAACAGTGGATTTGTTCTAGGATAGGAAGAAGGGGATGTGATGAGAGGGAGAGGACTTTTGAGATGAATCGGTCTGCAAGGTATTGTCTTCGAAGGTTGAGGGGAGGCTCTACACATTCAACCTGAAGAGCATTTATGGGGGATGATTTCATAGCTCCGATAATTATTCTAAGGCATTTGGCCTGAATGGAGTCTAGTTTTTTTAATGCACCCTTATTGCAAGGAACAATAAGGAAGCAACAATAGTCCATTACGCTTCTGACCAATGCATTGTAGATGAGCTTCAATGAGTAGGGGTGAGCACCCCACCATACCCCGGCCAGAGCTCTGAGTATCGATACCGAGCGTTCACACCTTGCAACCACGGTGTTTATGTGATCTGCCCCAGACATCCTTGCATCGAGATAAACCCCCAAGAATCTAGCACTGCTTTTGATCGGGATATCCTGACCGTCTATCTCTATACGAAGATCCGGAGTGCGTCGTTTGCGTGTAAAAATGACAGCTGAGCTTTTTGGGGCGCTTAAAGATAACCCGTGATTAAGAAGCCATTGGTTTAATGAGGCCAAAGAGACATTGATGGAGTGGGCGGCGTCTGTTATAGAGCTATTGGTAACCATTAGTGCGATATCGTCAGCATACTGAAGGACATTACAGTTGAAATTTAAACAGGAGGGGAGGTCATAGGTATAAATATTGTAAAGGATGGGACTAAGGACTGACCCCTGAGGTAAACCTTTCCAGGAGGACCTCCGTACTGGGTTATCCTCAGGAGATCTTAATTGGAGGGTACGATCGGAAAGGATGCAGGCTATAATTCGGCAGATCCTACGCGGGATTCTCAGCTCTTGCAGTTTCTGCCTGAGAAGGGGTAAGAGAACAGAATCATAGGCCGCTGAGATGTCCAAGAAGACCGCGACCAACGACTCCTGCCTGCTAAGGGCCAGTCGGATGGCTGACGTGAGGGTACCCACACTGTCAGCCGTACCCAGACCTTTCCTGAAGCCGAACTGAGTCGCCGGAAGCAGCCTCTGGCTTTCTACCAACCACTCAAGGCGGTTTTTGATAAGATGTTCAAATGTTTTAATAAGTATGGACGATAGGGCAATAGGTCTGTACGACGAATGGTCACCAGGATCCTTGCCAGCTTTTAACAGCGGCATAATAACCTGAACCTTCCAGGTAGGAGGAATATAGCCTGAAATAAAGCAAAAATTGACTAAGTCAAGGTAGTACTGCTTCGCTTTAGTTCCTGCCTTAGTTAGGAAGGAGTAGGGGAACCCATCAATCCCTGGTGCCGAGTCCTTCACATGGTTGAGTACCGTTTGGAGCTCTTCAGATGAGAACTCCAAATCGAGCGGGTCATGAGACTCGGGTCGCTCGGTCTCATGGGATCTCAGGCAGCATTCATCTGCGGTGGGAACATAGGTTGGAGCAATATTGCTAAAAAAACTGTTAACCAGAGATTCGGGTAAGGTGGAGACAGTGGGAGGTTTGGTGGAGTTTCTAAAATTTTTGACTCTCTGCCAAACTGTGGATATTGTTGTCGATGGGCTCAGAGAACCACAAAATCTCCGCCACCCTTGTCTCTTTTTTTTCCTGAACAATTTCCTTGACTTAGCCAAAATTCGCTTGAAATTTATGAGGTTTTCCAGGTTCATATCTTGGTTATATGTTTTTTCAGCCTCATTCCTAGCCCTTATCATGGCAGTGCATTCACTATCCCACCATGGAGGAGAAGGTATTTTGCCTTTCGGTGCGTTTTTCACCGGAAAGCAATCTTCGGCTGTGGAGGCTATCAGGTCTGAAAATTTGGAGAAACACTCCAAAGAATTTTCGTTGTTAATTGGTGGAAGGAAAGAAGTGCGGTGGTCTAATAATTTTGAGTAAAGATCCCAGTCTGCAGAATCTAAACGATATTTTAATAAGGGGGGAAGGGGTTTATCCGGAATGGATTTTGACGAGTGTTTAATTAAGATGGGATAGTGGTCACTACCATAGGTCAAATTTAAACAACTCCAATTTAGCACGCTAGCCATATCAGGCGAGCAGAAGGTCAAGTCCACACAGCTGTTTCTTTGACCAAAAGCAGACCTACGAGTAGGGCTGCCATCATTAATGACACACAACTCGAGTTCATCCAGCATCTCAACTAGCTCATTACCCATATTATCACATACATCTGAACCCCATCTATAGTGGTGGCAGTTGAAGTCACCCATTACAAGTAATGGGCCACTTACCGAGGTTAATAAATTTTTAATCAAAATAAGCTGGTCAACATGAGGGTGAGCAATGTAAAATACAAATATGTTTATGTCCTCAGCCTTAACAGCGACAACATTTATGTCATCGCCAACGAAGGGTAGAGGAATCTGGGAGAAGGGTACTTTGTTATTAACTAACAAAGCACAACCTCCATAACCATCAGATCTGTCATGTCTGACAACACTGAAACACGGGATCCCGAAATTTATATTCGGTCGAAGCCATGTCTCAGCAATGCCACAAATCAATGGTTTAAATTTATTGATCAAGTGGAGTAAGTCACTCTTCCTGGGAAGAGTACTCCTCACGTTCCACTGAAGCAGTGTTAGAGGCAGGAATTTTGCAAATATAATCAAGAATTGTTGAAAGCTTGTGTGCTACGTGGTCAGGTACGGTATGGGCAGGGTTTGATAGTACTGCCATGAGCATATCAGAAACTATGTTCAAAATGTTTTCGGAGCTACGAGTGTTGGTTCCGGATTCCACAGGGAAAGCGCAACCACTTTTAGATGGGGAGAACGAGAGTAGTTATGTATAAGGGCCTGATGAGCCTTCTTATCATAACTAGGAGAGAGGGGAGCATGTGATTTGGGTTTTAGTTGGATAGTTTTTTTGTAGGAGACTCTTTGTTGGGATGATTTTTTAATAGGTGATGGATCTACGAGGTTGACTGATCTTGAGACCTCAGCATATGACCTTTTTACAGTAGGGAAAACTTGGCTTGCTTCCGCATATGAAATAGATTTTTCTGCCATCAAAGCTTTGATGCTCTTCTGGCGACCCAATTCAGGACAAGCTTTGTCATTTGCAAAGTGGTTGCCATTGCAATTTATACATGTGGCAATCTCAGCTGAAATCTGGCATCCATCACCTGGATGATCCTGGCCACATCTGAAACAACGTGGCTTGGAGCGGCAAAGAGTGCGGGTATGTCCGAAACGACAACAGTGATAACACTGTATGGTCGGATATGAATATAGTTCTACCGGGAGTGCTGAGTAGAAACAAAACACTTTTTTGGGCAATGTTTGACCGTCAAAAGTAAGCACTACGGTTTGGGTAGGCTTCCATTCGGTACCATTTGGGGTTGAGACTCTGCGATTCATCCTCCTAGCTTTTATCACAGCCCCACACCCGGTGGGAACCCTGATGTTGCCAATGATCTCGTCCTCTGTCCATTCCACAGGGACGTCCCTGACAATGCCCATTCGGGTAATGTTGAATTGTGGGATCGAAGTTGTGTAGTTTTGAGCTACCATACCATTGACTAAAAAACTGTTAGCATCCTGGTGCGTCACAAACTCAACCGAAACTCTATTCCTCCCCAGCCGTTTGACACCACCGATCTTAACATTATTAATGTTTAATTTCATTAGGAACATACCAAACTTAACTGGGTGAAGCGTGGTGCCAGACGTCTGGGAGTCCTTAAGAGACACATAAACTATGTAAGGGGGATTGTCCCTGGCCGTGTAACATTGCCTACCATTTACACTTTTCGCCAATTTCGGGGGGTTGTTTTGGGTGATAAGGGGGGAGCCTGCGGGTCGTTTCCGGGATTTTGAAACTTCCGCGTCCATTATTTCGATATCCGGGGTGTTCGGAGGAAGGGTAATTGTGACTATAGTTTCCGTCTCATATTCCGGGGATTTATCGGGATCAGGAGGATCGGGTGGCTTCACCTCGTCCATTTCGGATTAAAAAGATGCGGATGGGCAGAGGAAAAAATAGATTAAAATATATTTAAAAACACCAATACCTGAAACTTACACACACATACACTTAACCAACACAAAAACACAAAATTTAAAAGATTTCAATTCAGATCACTATGAAATAGATCACTTAAATTGAAAATAAACGTAGGAGTGACAAAAGCACGTGCGTAACCTTCACCACTACCAACGAAAGTCGAATCTGTGGTTTATTCATTTTCACCTGTGGTTTATGTCAATTTGTGAAGTGAAAATGACACTGACTATAAGTGACAGACTATAGCAGCGATAGCTGTCAAATTGATAAAAATAACCTACAAATTATAGACTTCTCAATGTTAAATTGAAAATATTTACAAAAAAATGACTGGAAGATTCGTATTACAGTCTTTGTATTGTAGCTTTACAAGAAAAGTACCTTTAAAACACAGTTTCCTGCCGTCAAATCGGTTATACGTCGGTATATTTCGAGTTTCAAGTAATGAATATTGTACCATAACAGAGCCCCAGTTTGTTGAGAAAAAACATTGTAATATTGGGACTATTGGGCATGTAGATCATGGGAAGACTACGCTCACTGCAGCTATAACTAAAGTATTAGCTAAAGATGGGTTGGCGCAGTACGTATCGTACGATGAAATCGACAGAGCGCCGGAAGAAAAAGCTAGAGGTAATGTTTTGATATCTTGAATATGGAATGGTTATTGCAACCGTATAAATATTTAATTTTTATTAAATCTATTAAGCATATAACAATCAGTCTATATAAAATATTTTCTTTTATTAGTCAGCCACTTGTTCAAAGAATTACCGTGTAGATCTGTTTGTTTGTTAATTCATCACTGTCAATAAGAATGTGAATTCCTACGACTGCCTACGAGGATTTTACTGCGCCTTGTAGTAGCAAGGCTATAAGTATAGTATAGTATAGTAATCTATGTACATTTTTAGTACAAAAGTGTATTTAAACAAGTTAAAATTCCCATCAACAGGTATAACTATAAACGCAGCGCACATTGGCTACAGCACAAAGCTACGTCACTATGCACACACAGACTGTCCCGGTCATGCAGACTTTATACGCAACATGATATCAGGAGCTTCACAAATGGATGCTGCAGTATTAGTGGTAGCGGCCAATGATGGACCAATGCCCCAAACTAGAGAACATCTCCTATTGGCTAAACAAGTTGGCATACAGTATATCATTGTGTTCATTAATAAGGCTGATTTGGTTGATGGTGAGGTAAGTGATGTTTGATATCTTTTTTTGTATTTTGGAGTAATACCACGGCCTCACAGAAAACCGACGTGAAACAACGCTTGTGTTGTGTTTCGTCGTGTGAATGAGGTTACTGGAACCCCAATTACTCCCCCTCCCCAGTGTGGAGGATTGGGGAGACTTCCCCAATCCTCCACAATCCTCAAATTCTCAATTCCCAAAAGGCCGGTAATACATTTGTAACGCCTTGGTGTTCTAGGTATTCATGGGCGACGCCGATTGCTTACCATCAGGTGATCTGTCAGCTTGCTTGCTGGCTTATGCAATAAAAAAATATCAGTTATGTTATGAGTTCCATGTAATTGGAGGAGAGCCTATTGCTGTACACTGGGCACATTTCCAGGTTCCATATAGAGAATTTTCATGACCCTGAGATGACCACTGATCGTAAGCGACGATGCGGTGTATGATAGAGCACCCCTGCCTATACGCAACATTGAACATAATAGTCAAATGTTTTGCTCCTTCATTTTCTTACAACACCCCAGAAGAACTAAGGTGTGATGACAAATTAGATATTCTAATAAAAACATTTATTATGACCATTATTTTAGTTGTTGGAGCTAGTAGAAATAGAAATGAGAGAGCTACTATCAGACTTTGGCTATGATGGCAACACAGTACCTATGATTTGTGGCTCAGCAATGAAGGCTCTGAATGGAGATGAGACGGAATTCGGTACGTAATTAAAATAATATTATAATGTAATGTCATGTAATCTCCGGCACATTTACAAAATATGTAGGTAGATAATACAATTTTTTTTGAGGGAGAAAAATCATCTAATGACTCCTCTCGCTTTGGGACCTTGGGTGACGCAAGAGGGAGTGTCAGAGTCTTACTGACTAAAAACCACCCCGTTCCTACATCTGCTTCGAGTCGGAACCCCGGCAACTCGTTCTTCAACAAGTCTTCCGCGGCTCCGGATCTGGCCATCTACTATCCATCTGTGCTGGTCTGATGGTTCTTTGAAAAACGCGCGGAACGCGGCGCGCCTTATGCACAAAAATTTACTTGCTCTAGTCTAGAGATCCATGTATCAGAAGGTGTACTTACTGTGTTACTAAGTTTTGAGACTAGAAAAAGCTCAATATTATTTTACTCTATGCAAGGGGTCTCGGGTTCGATTCCCGGGTCGGGCAAAGAATTACTGGGTTTTTAAAAAATTCTCAGTAGTAGCACGGAGTCTGAAATTGTGCCCGGTATATGACAATTGGCTCACCCCCTATTACATGGGACTTATAACATAAATAGTGAAAAGTGGGTCTTACATTGTAGAGTGGCATAATGTACGCCTACCCCTTCGGGGATAAAAGGCGTGATGTTATGTTATGTTATATTATTTTACTCAACCCGAGAATCGAACTCGAAACCTTTTGCTCAGCCTAGACTACAAATGCTTTTTTTTCAGGCGCGCCATCAATACGGAAACTCCTTTCAACGATGGATGAATACGTGCCCCCTATAGTAAGGGATTTATCATCCCCCTTCCTAATGCCCATAGACAACGCGTTCACAGTTCCCGGCAGAGGAACAGTTGTCGTTGGCACAATCAAAAGAGGTATTATGAAGAAAAATGCAGAGGCCGACCTTTTGGGTTTTGGGCAGAATATTAAAACTACAATTTCGGACGTACAGATATTCAAGAATAGTGTGCCTGAGGTACGTATGTATTAAGAAAGTACTCGATAAAGAAACTATAATGAGTTGATAGATTTTTTTATGTAGCTGCCGCTGCATCATTGGTGTGGACACGGATATGTGACTGCCGAGCAAAGAGGTCTTAGTAATTGCCGAGTCAAAGTAATGCTGGGTTGAAGTTATCTTTAACATAACATCACGTCTTTTGTCCCCGAAGAGAAAGACAGAGGTGCACATTATAGCACGCAGTGTGACATCCACTTTTCACAATTTATGTTATAAGTCCAATGTGATAGGGGGTGAGCCTATTGCCATATACCGGGCACGCAATTCCAGAGCCTTTGCTACTACTGAGAATTATTTTACAAACCTAGCTATACTTTGCCCGACCAGGGAATCGAACCCGAGACCCATTGCCCGGCAGTTGCACTTGCAACCACTCGGCCAACGAGGCAGTTACCTTTTAATATACACCTTCCTTCAATCAATTAATTTTAACCAATGTTTAAATTGCCTTATTTCCAGGCCTTGGCTGGCGACAACGTAGGCGTTCTACTGCGCGGTATGAAGATGAAGTCAGTGCAAACTGGAATGCTCCTAACAGCGGCTAAGAGTTGTTTCCTAACTAATCATTATAAGGCGAAGATCTATTTCCTAACGAGAAACGAGGGAGGCAGAAGAAAACCTATATTCTCTAGGTATTCCCAGCAAATGTTTAGTGGTACTTGGAATATTGCTGTCAGAATTGATTTGGGTAAGTACCTATTGATAAATAGTATTTGATAGACGTAATTTTTTGCAGGTAGCAGCAGAGTAGAATACATAGGTACTAATATTACTATCCCTTTTCCTCCCGCGCGTGACGTAAGAACCTATTATGGGACTAACATCACAGTCTTTACCATAAAGGCACTTGAGCACGTGCCTGGTGATTAATGCTCAAACCTCAGTCGTTGTGAGAAGAGGCTTTGCTCAGCAGTGGGCGCTTATAGGTTGATGATGATGAACAGCAACAATAAGTCAAGAAAATATGCAACCATCCTCGATTGTTTTGACTGGACTCAACAAGTACAGCGGCGCTAAATGGAAATTAGATTAGGCTCAGCAGTGAACTAACATAGACCATTGATGAGTTTACGCCAGTTGCTGAATGGAGACTTTCTTCTTGATTTTTAACTATTATTTACAAAGGAGGTTAAGACCTCCGATCTGCTGTGATCACCTATAAAGATACAAACATTAGCGTCCTCTGAATAATTATCCTACTAATTCAATTTCATATAATGAATATTATGACACCAGCCCCTTTCTAGAGGCCTCTCTTTAGATCGATAACGATAATGACTTACCTTATTCATTTTTCCAGAACCAACGCAACAGATGATGATGCCAGGCGATCACGGAGAAGTATACCTAACTCTTTTAGAAGACATGGTCATGACTGTAGGCCAGCCTTTTACAGTCCGAGAAAACAATGTCACCGTTGCAACAGGCATTATAACTGAAACACTATCCTCTATCAATGTGCCCAAAGGAAAATTAGGGAAAGTTGTACTGAAGTTTAATGATTAAGGTGTATTTTTGTATGTAGATTATAGGCTGTAGATATTATAATGTTAATAAATTAATGTTATTTGTTTATATTTGGTATGTTATTTATTGATTCTTTTAAATTTAGAAAAAGTATATTAACATATAGAAGCTCCCTTATTTGTCCCTTCCCATAGTTGGAAGCAATAAATTTAAAAGTACTGAAGTGATCTAATACTTAACTAGCGCCATCTAGGTAACGCAAAAATGTATAGTACATCATTCATATTTAAGTCTTGTTCGATTAGGTAAAATGGGGTGATTGGGTGTAGAAGAGGGCTGAATCGATACTATGAAGAACTTTCCAATATCTAATCTCTACGATCTTTGTCCAAAATATCCTGAAAACAAGTAAACAAGAAATAAAACTGCACAAAACATTTTATTCATTATATATTTTTTGTCAGAAGGTAATTAATACAGTGCCAAAACAGTAACAAAACATTAGTACGAAAAAATCAAGAATGCATCTAGCATTAACTACTCAAATACCATATATAAACAATATCCTATGTCGAAAGTAGGACAACATTTAACACTTATATTTTTCACAACGTTTGAACATGAGTTGGCATAGTAAACTATTTATTTTTCTCAATAATATATATAAATTGTGAACTAGACTCATAACACCGATACGCCTAATGGATATTTTATTTATTTTTTTCTCTACATTATTATTATAGGGGTAGTTATGTGCCGTGTCAATGTAATAATTCATAAGTGCAGTCCATTTGTTGTGTCAATTTCAACATTTTAGTTACACAGATACTTAAAGCAAAATCGGAATCAGCTGTGCATATTTTAATATCGATTATCGATAACATCGATATGGCAACATCACTATTTAGTAGTGCTGTGGATAAAGAAAATTACTTAGTGATTTTATGTCTCTTTTTGGCAATATCCAAGCTGCTAGTGCTCTCACTCTTATTAAATTAAGCTTGCCATCACTAAATAGTTCTCTCAATATAAATAATACATATTTCACGCTAAACAAAATACAATACAGATTTAACCAATCAAATCGCTTCCTCAATTCATTCGTCATTCTCATTAGATATGCTTTGGTCAATACGTACGAAGACTTACATACCAAAAATTTACCAAAAATTTTCGTACGTTCAATAATTTCACACATATTTTTTCCAACATAATTTACTGCACATAACTACCCGCATTATAATACTGTGTAAGAGCAGATTTTGCGACATCTGCCGCGCCAAAATCCGCCCTAAAATCAGTCTGTCACTTGATCAACATGCTGCGTACATCTAACATTTAATCACAAAATTACTGTAATGTATACACGTTCTAACATGAAGAAAGACAGAAGTAACCTTCAAAATATTTTATTATACTTTTTTTATTAAACCATCTATTTCAAATGCTATAGGTACCATTAGCATGTGATGTGAGCTAATCTTATTATATCCTTGGTCCAATGCGAGCTAAACTTGGCATCTTATGTTACAAATAGCTTCGTTTCAATGTTCACTTCATTATTTTTTTATTAATTTGAAAAATTAGTGTTTTACCCGCTTTTCGATAATGCGCGTCTCATCTCTAATCCATTACAATAACAAGCGATTTTTTTTTTATAAAAAAATAAAACTACGTTCTAAACATTCGACGTTTAAGTTGAGGTAAAAATATCGAGTTTTTACAAGCGAGTACAAAAATGAGCCAATTATAAAATAGTTTATTTTAGGACATCATCTATATTTAACAATAAATAACTATCGATTGGACATTCAACATACGTACGTATAATTTTACGCGGTAACATTTATAGGTATTTGCTATAGAAGTGTTTGAGTCAAACTCTATTACAGAATCGAGAGAGTACCATAGCATCCTATGATGATAATTATTACAAAATGTACGGTAATGTATTACATTGTGCATTTTCTAAGACGAAGCTAACATTTGGATAAACATACATTTATTTATTCCTCGTATACTTAAAGCTATTTGAGTTACATTCAAAACGTGCTAGCCACCAAATTTGCCACAGGAAATAGATTACACAAATCATCTTTTTAAAATTGGACATTTCTCATTAGAATGAAGAAGGTTTTATTTAAAATTTTAGACTGTTTCCAGTGACATCTGGCGGCGGGCGTCTAGAGACGTGCATTATCAAAGTATACATTTATTAGCACACCACAATACGATTTCCATCGCGATACCAATACCACGGAATTAAGTTTTAATAAGCTCATAAAATTCGATATTCACCACAGACAGTAATATTTTGTATCCATTAATATATATTCATTAAGTATCTTAAAAACACCTATTATTTTTTTATTACACGGACAGATCCAAAGTTATACATGAGATAAGGACTAGCGATCATCAATCTATGTATTTTTATATTAAAAATAGTATTCGCGCCTACAAAGCTTTGCTAAAAACAACAAAAATATAACAAGAAACAATGATAATAAAAACAGAATGCAGGTAATAATGGGCATTATCAACAGTGGCAGTGTTCGAAGAAATGCTAAAATAGTTGCATTGAAATGTTATACAACTCTCTATAGGGAGCGAGAGCTGGGTACCTTTTGCAAGCTCAGTGTGACCGCTAATACAATGGTATGGCAATATATAGACGTTCACTGCTACCGGACTAAATGTAGTGAGATTTCAAACACTGAACAAATGACTTAAAATATCCCATTACATTTGTCTTGTTTAACTGAATAAAACACTGTCACTTATAACTTAAATTATAATAAAATACACTTATTGGTGTCGACAAGTAGTGTTCTAGCACCACGATACAAACTATACAATTACGTATGCCCTAACAAATCCGAGTGGCGCTTCAATTCCTCAGAGAAAAAAGTAAAGATAAAGAAAAATAATAATCAATTTTTCCCCCGTGCTGTTTAATAAAACCTGTTTAATACTTGCACACCAATTACCTAAAATATGTAAAAAATTAATTCACCAACACTTATCAACTAGAAAAATATTTTAGAAATTCTCACTTACATTTAAGAGGAACTGGCAAAATAAATCCTGTATTTCATCCGTTTCGACATTTTTATTATTACCTCTTTTTATTCAACTCACAATTGAATACAAAAAAACCAGATTTGGTCCTCAAGTATAAAATTCATGATGCCATTCCTATAAATTGGACAGAACTATTCACTGTTCGCGTATTGACGAGTAGCAAAAATATTAGTAGACTATGCACACTAAACAATGGCTCAAAATATCAAATCCACTAAATACCCAATAGAAAAAAAAATCAACCTGCCTACGTGTTACGGCAAAACCTCGTAGAAGCAATGTTAAACTTAAGAAACTAGTAGAGTAAGATTAAAATGGTGGCTGACCGTTCGCGTCTACAGACGACTGGCTCAAACATATATCACAATAAACTATCTAATAGGACTAACCACCGTTATTGTCCACACTCATTCTATCAAATACTATCATTTGCAACTAATATAAAAAAAATAAACATCCCATTATAGTTTAACACCCAACGGATTAACGAATCCACAGTATCAAAAAGTGATTAAAACTTGTTTAATAAGAATTGTTTAATTTTAGAGTATTTTGTGCTCGCGACGCGACGCCCGGACGTGGGCACATGGCGGTTATAAACATCTATACAAACTATCCGTCACCTACTAAAGGACACATCGAATATTATGCTAAATAGTTACACTTTGTTTCTATACGAGGATTCTTTATTCTTTACACGGTTATATTTAAAAACATGTAACTATCAGATTCGTACTATAAGCCTTAGGACCACATCCACCTATATTTATCTCCACCTCGGGGCGAAGGCATACCGATACCGACCACTACACAACTAGCATCATTTAAAATAGATAAAAAACCAACTACATTACACAATTTGCAGGAATATCTATCTAAATAGTGTGTTCATGTGTTTCCTACAAAGTTTTTTTTTCATTGTTCGGTTATTTATTTATTTTTTATAAATATTCTTCCGTAAATTATTATCAAATTTGATAAAGCTCTAAGATTGATCCACATTCACATAAAATTACTCGGCCGACACCGAGACACTGAAGCGATGAACGTCATAGTCTGACCACAACCGAAAACAAACCTAGACCCAATAAATATAAGTCTGATTTTATGTCATTTGGTAGTTAATAAATGCGACATCTATATCGAACCGTCGCTAATCGAGACACGGCATTAAAATTCGAGGAACATTATTGTTAAAAGACTTAAATATAAAAACTCGGGAATTATTTTAAGGGCGTTACTACACAATCGATTAATTTATCAAAATCGATCACATTGAGCGTGCACTCAGGATGATCGATGATATAATAAAAATAATTCATTTTGGTTTAATATTACAACAATCGATTCTACATTATCGATGGGAATCGATGCTGTAGTGTAGCAATACCTTAAGGTAACGACAAAGTCGAGACTTGACCGCGAAGTTAAAGAAATAAAAACTAAAATAAAGAGAACCATTCCAGTCTTGCTAGTGGTGTGACTACACATTCCTATAAAAATAACAAATCTAGCTCATTTCTCTAATGTGATGTGACACACACTTTGTACATTCAGGATTTTAGGAGCAAAACCTTTGTGAGGGGCGAAATATTTTATAGTGAAATAGAAACACTCAGATCACTAGCTTAGGTGAAGCTTGGACATAATTTTTTGGACTATTCAAGTCCATATTATAATAATTAATTATTTATAATTATAGATTTTGGATTGCTCCCTATATTATAACACTTAGCATACAGGAATCGCGGGATATGTTCATTAGGCCTTCGTACAAAACAGCTGAAAAATTTAATTTAAAAGCGATTTTGGCTTAACTTTCAAAAAGGACTTGAGCAACATTTAAATACATACTTAGCGGATTAATCCAAGTGTTTCTATAATATAAGTATTTACGTATCATATTGTTTTTTTTATTTATTTGAAGACACAGAAAACTATTAAGGGTGAAACAC